CCAGTTAAAGGCTCAGAGTCCTCCTCGAGTCCAGCCAGTGGCCTAGAGCCCACAGCAGTGTCTCTTGCTTGTCTGTATTGAAGATCTGCACCTGGAAGGCGCAAAGGCCAGTGGTGGAAGCCAGAAAATCCATGCTCGTGAGATGAAGGATCTTTGTAACCAGGCTGAGGGATCCACGTTAGAGCCAGGAAGCGATGCTCACGGTAAAGATCAGAGCTCCCCTGATAAAAGCAGCATCCATACCACAGCGAGGTCTTGAGCCCTTCCTCCGACGAGAACGGCCTAGTTCGCATCAGAAAAACCATCCGCAGCAAGCTTCTCCTAGAAAATCAACAGACCAAGCTCTTCCTCCTCAGTCCTCTTTTTATGGCTATTGGGAGCAATCTTCAGGTGGATCCTCCACGCACAGACCATGCTGATTCAGTTCAGCGGGGCGTTTACAAGTTGACCATTAGTCAATCCACTACACTGTTATAAAACATCCGAGGCTGGATATTTATAAAGAAAAGAGATTTATTTTGCTCACAGTTTTGAAAGTCTAAGTTAGACAGTCCCATCTATGCAGCCTCTGGAGAGGGCCTTGCTCAGCGGGGTCCTGACACAGCTGATGGCCTCACGATCAGAGTGTGTAGATGAGGAGATCACAGGGTGAGACTGGAAGTCACAGCAATTCAGGAGCCAGGCCCGCTCCTTTGTAATGAATCACTTTAGCAAGAACTAAGCCATTCCAGGAAACCAGCGTCCACCCCTCCCCAGGACAGCGCCCCGGTGTCCTGATTACCTCCCGGTGGGCACCCATCTTAGAGGTCCCCCGACACCTCTCCACATTGGAGTCAAGCTTCCAGCACGAGGGCCTCAGCCAAAGGCAGGAGGAGAGAAGCGTCCAGGGAGTGGGCCCTCCCCTCTGTTCTGTGGGACTTTGTCCTTACTCTGCTGTGCTCCCCAGGCAGGTCAGGGGCCAGCGACCGTGCGCCTTGAGTAATGATCTCTGGAGTGTGGCGGCGGAGTCCATTTCCTTGACGTGGTTGGGCCATTGCCCCCTCTGGTCTGCTCCAGCTCGTCTCTTCAGTTTTACTTTGCACCATGAGTCAGAGGAGAAGGGCTGTCTTCGTCCTTACTGGGGGAGAGCTTGGCAGACACGGCTGATGCGGATGGGCAATAATTAAATCGCCGTGGATCGTGTCTAATATAATTGAGACAGAAGCGGGGAGCATATGCCCCAGACAAAGGCTGTCTTCATAGAGGGCTCCCTGAGCCTGGAGCCTTTTCTTTCCTGAATTATGAAAGGCAGTATCTTAATTAAAATTAGAAACCATGAAAAAACAATAACTAGGAGTGGACAGATGGATCGTAGGAAAGAAAAAAATTATTTTATGCCAAGCAGTTTTTAAAGGCAAACATCTTATTGTCTTAATCCCCCCCCCCTTTTCCAGTTTGGAAGGTAAATGGAAACATTTTGTAGCAAATTGAACCAAAAAGCAAAGGTTTTACTTTTTTTTTTTTTTTTTTTTTTTTTTTTTTTTTTTTTCCACAGGTTATAATGCATGTCGCCGCATAGC